AACCAGGTTCTGGTTGCAGAGTTATAGTTATATGACTTTGGGGACGTCATTTAATTCCTGAGATCCGCAGCTGTTCCTCCTGAAAAAGGCAAAAACTTAACACAAAAGTCTTGTTCTTTCCTAGCGCCTGCTTGAGCACTCTGGCAGGCTCTGTAAGTCTTATATCCCCAAGGGCCTCTGCATCATTCCACATGGAAGAGGAGGGGGGAAACCAGGCTGGAAGAAGGGGCCGGAAGCAGGATCGTAACCCATGACGCGATATTGAGGCAGGATAGTAAGAAGCTAGGGAAATTCCTGGGTGAGTGGAATGAGGAAACTGAGACAAGAAAATTAAGGCCAAACAATTTAACCAGTTTACGGCCAGCTAGTGAATCGCAAGGCCTTATCTTCCCTAACCAAGGACACTTGAGAGCAAATGGTTTATACCTCTCCTCTCTGCCTAGAGATTAAAGAGCTTAAGTCACCCTGGTCAGGGAAATAGAGAACAGAAACCCAATTCATGCCATTTGTGGCCACTAAACCCAAGGATGGATGAAGTCAGGGGAACGAATAACAAAACCCAAGTACAGACAGACAGACCCAAGATAAAAGCAAAGCAGTGAAGCTGACCAGAGGATAATCCCAAACCCCCCTATACACTCATTTTGATGCATTGGCATATTTAAAACGCACCTGGAAAGCTGAGGAATATTCTGCTGAAACCCTCCCCTAAGATTCTGGCCCCCAGAAGAGAGATTAGAAACCCCTCAAGACAAATGATGCTGGGCAGGCTCTCTCTGGAGCACACCCATGCCTGTTCTCAGGCATGAACTTTGTGTGTTTTTTTAATCATTCAAGAGAAAAGTCCACAGGGTCATCCTTTTTTAAAAAAATATATATTTATTGATTTTTTACAGAGAGGAAGGGAGAGGGATAGAGAGTTAGAAACATCGATGAGAGAGAAACATTGATCAGCTGCCTCCTGCACACTCCCTACTGGGGATGTGCCCGCAACCAAGCTACATGCCCTTGACCGGAATCGAACCTGGGACTTTTGAGTCCGCAGGCCGACGCTCTATCCACTGAGCCAAACCGGTTAGGGCCACAGGCTCATCCTTTAATAAGAGCAGAGCTTGTGCACCAGAGCAGAGGAGCACAGACGTTTGGGTCAGATGAACCAGGCTTTAAATAAATGCACTTCACAGTCGACATGTCAGTTTGGGCAAGTAATGTTCCGAACGGAAATAGATAGAGTATATCCTATCGTATTGGGCTTTTCTTACTGCTGCTGTAACAAGTTTCCACAAATTTAGTGGCTTAACACACAAGCTTATCTAGCAGTCCTGGAGGTCAGAAGTCTGAGCAGATCTCAGTGAGCTGAAATGAAGATGTTGTCGGGGCCGCATTCCTTCTGGAAGCTCTAAAAAGAATCCACTTCTTTTCCTTTTCCAGCTTCTAGAAACTGTCGGGCATGACATTTTCTCTAAAGATCCCCACAAGACTTGCCACCAGGGGGCAGCAGGCAGTGGCAGCTCATCCTGGGCTAACCCCCTGATCCTGTCTCCACAGCCCCGCTTTTCTCTGATTTTCCGGTGACCTAACAGCATGGCTCACTTCTTCCCTGCAATCTTTCTGGGGGAAAAAGCAGAGGACCACCTAGGGCCTAGGCTCTCTCCTGGTGCTGCTTCTGCCCTAGGGCCTTCCCCAGCTTTAATAAGCTGACTCAAAATCACCTGGACTCATGTGGTGAAATCTTTCCTGCACGAAGGCAAGAACCCACACACAGCAGGCCGGCCCGAGGCAGACGCACTCCGCGGGCCTAGTCCCCATCCGTGACAACATCAGAAAGTTATATTTAAAATGCAAAAACTGGCCATGGTTTTCACTGTCCTGAGCAACATCCCCAGTAATTCTACATGTTTCTGACATTCTGAGATGGGTTTTTCCAAAAGGAAGTCTAAAGCTTCAATTATCCCAACATAAACTCTTCCCCGTAAGTTTCGAGTTTGGTTAGGGAGGTGAGGATGGGACTGTTGTAAAAAGCAAGGGCTGAGAGGGCTGACATTGCCCAAGGTCAAACTACTAATAAATGGCTGATGCAGGATATGTACCCAGTTCTCCAGAGAAACTGAGCCTGGACTGTTTTGTTTTTGTTTTTTTTAACCACTATTTTATCAAATTGAAAAACCTTTTATGAGAAAACATATAAGTTCATAACCTGTCATAACTGTTGAAGTTTCTATGTACAAGTCTCTGTTAGACCCATCTCAAATTATGAGATGGTTTGCTGACTCTGAGTATTTTGGATCTTTCTTAGTTGGCATTTTTGGTCTCTTTGAATTGGGAGATGGAAGAGCATTAAACCAGAGTTCCTTTATGTACTGACTTCTTAAATACTCCCTTGCTTTTTATCTGTTGCAGCTGTGTGTGGGATTTTTTTTGTTATTGTTGTTGTTTATTTTGGTTTTGCTTTTTTACTGCAACCAACAAATCTTTTCTGGCAAGGCGGAATGCCCTTTTATTTTTTTTAATATATTTTTATTAATTTCAGAGAGGAAAGGGAGAAATAGAAACATCAATGATGAGAGTATCATCCATTGGCTGCCTCCTGCATGCCCCCTACTGGAGATTGAGCCTGCAACCTGGGCATGTGCCTTGACCAGGAATCAAACCATGACCTCCTGGTTCATAGGTCGACACTCAGCCATTGAACCACACCAGCCGGGCGGGAATGCCCTTTCAAATAGGCTGATGACTGGCAGTTCTAATCCAGGTGTAACAAGGCCAACTGGTTGATTAACTCACCCAATCCCTCTCAAAGTACCCTCCTGCCTAGCAATCTTGCAGTTAGACATGATCAGGTGATAAAGTTCTAGCTTAAAATACATCAATGAAAGTCTTGACACTGGAGTCTTGGGGAAGGCTTTCCTAATAAAAATAGACAACCTTTCTGCCTTCTACCACTGTGACTTTTCCCCTTATTTTGACCTGGTAGCTGAACATGAGGCTGAAAATGGAGAAGCCATATTATAACCAGGAGACAATAAGCAAAAAGGTGCTAAGGGTTGTGGGGTAAAAACATAGAAGAATTACATTTTTATTGACATTGTAGAGGGGCAGCCTTACATTGTCTTCCTCTGGACCTTGTTTTATAAAAAACAAATAGGACCTTATTTCTTTCATCCCCACAGTCAATTATGTTTTTTGATATCTTCATGGGCTCAGAACGCTCGCATCCCTGTTGCGTCTGCACACACTCCACCTCCACCTCCAATTATGGCATCAGCTGATGTCAGTAACAATAAGGCTCGTGATTGGAGGAAGCCTGTTTGATGAGGTGTGGGCAGTTATGACCCCCCATTCCTCGCCGCCCAGCTCCCTCCTCAGCTGATTGCCATGTACCTAAAATCTGTTGCACCTTAAACGGCAATATATGTTTGAAGGAGAAATGAAAAACATTGTTTTCATTCTTATTTCCTACAGCTTTAATTTCTTTATTTTTTATTGTCATAGTTATCTGATAGCTTCCAAATGTATGTATAGCCTCCATAAAATGAGATAGCCAACAGCTAATTATAAAAAAATATTTCCTCAAAATATGGCTTCCATCATTCATGTAAGGTTCATAAAACCACTCTTTTAACAAACATTGTGAAAACAACTAGTTAAGACATAAATTCATACAAACCTGCAATATTGCTCTTTCTGGTAACTGTGTAAGGTCACATTCAGTAATTTTACCTACAAAATAGTCTCCAGACCGACTGTCTTCAACAGAAACAATTCCTTGAACAGCTCCTCTGCTTCTAATCCTGTTTCTCCATTTTTTCAATTGAACTTCATGTTTTAACAACTGCCGTGAAAACAATTTAGAAATTCCATGAAATTGTTGTAAGGGTTAAATGAGATGATATATATATAAAGTACAAAGCTTGACACAATGAGAGCACCTATCAAACATTATCATCATCAGCCCATAAATTATCATTATCCGGAGCATTTTTAATATCCTCTGAACCACCAGAGCACTATAGATCATTTCCATTAGTTGTCATACAACACTGGCACAGACAGCCACCTTGAACATGTGGTCCAGCCGGCCTTTGTGGTTCAGTGGTTAAGCATCCACCCATGCACCAAGAAGCTCACTGGTTTGATTACCGGTCAGGTTACATGCTTGGGTTGCAGGCTCGATCCCAGTAGGGGCTCTGCAGGAGGCAGTGGATCAGTGATGTGTCTCTCTCATCTATGTTTCTCTCTCTCCCTTTCCCTTTGTCTCTCTCTAAAATCAATAAAAAATTTTTTTCCCAAAAGATGTGGCCCAACATCCTCTTTTATAAACAAGGAAGCTGAAACCCAGCGTGTCAAATTTCTAAAAACAATAGGGCCTGTATTTGCGGCATAAAGGGAGGGAGGTGGCACAGAAATAAAAAGGAGAGTCAGAAATAAAGAATTTGGGCATTTGCCGGACTTATCATTACAGAAATTCCCAATTTTAACTTTCCAAACAGTCCTGAAAACTGCATAATAAAGGGAAAAGCCTTTAGGGTAAATAAGTGTTTGACCTCTTCACACACACACACACACACACACACTTTTGTTTTAATATATATACTTATCAGAGCCTAAGTAAGCGCACGCATTGGAAAGCTAGCACGCAGAAATGTTCTCTTATTCTCCTCCCAGCACACACCCGCCATCCTCACTCCGCCTAGGTGCAAGCAGAATGCCTGTGAGGGCAAGGAATCACACAGCTAAAAGAACGCGTCTTATCTAGACACCTCACTAACGACACTGTAATCCACAGCCACGTTAAGGATAATGCTACTATTTTATATATAATAGGCATTATTATATCGTAACTAGAGGCCAGGTGCACAACATTCGCGCACTCAAGGTTCCCTCAACCCGGCCTGCGCCCTCTCGCAGTCCAGGAGCCCTTGGGGCCTAAACGGAATTCGACATCCTTAGCACTGCCCCCAAGAGATGGGAGAGGCTCCTGCCACCGCTGCTGCGCTCTCCAGCAGCGAGCCAGGCTCAGGGCTTCTGGCTGAGCGGCTCCCCTTGTGGGAGCTCACTGACCACGAGGGGGCAGCTCCTGCATTGAGCGTCTGCCCCCTGGTGGTCAGTGCACGTCATAGTGA